AAAACTACAGAATGAAGCATCTACCTTGTGGGAAGAAGCCAACAAACTCGGGAAAAAGGAATCTGTTAAGATATGCATTATACCAGGAACATGAGGTACACAAATGTGAAACATGCTGAAAATCAAACTAGAGAATAAAGGTTGTTAAGGTGTTTATTATATGAATAATATAATCAGATCTGAATATGCTGATCAATTATAGCCAACAAAGCACCACACTATCCATTTGTACACCCATAATCAGATCTGAACATGTTGATCAATCATAGTCAACAAAGCACCACACTATCCACTTGTACACCCATAATCAGATCTGAACATGTTGATCAACAAAGCACCACACTATCCACTTGTACACCCATAATCAGATCTGAACATGTTGATCAACAAAGCACCACACTATCCACTTGTACACCCATAATCAGATCTGAACATGTTGATCAACAAAGCACCACACTATCCACTTGTACACCCATAATCAGATCTGAACATGTTGATCAGTGAGGGTTACAAACTATCCCCTTACACACCCATAATTATATCTGAATATGCTGATCAATCATTGCCAACAAAGCACCAAATTATCCCATTATACACCCATAATCATCCATTTTCTTTACATATTCACTCCTGTCCATGATGACGACTACTCTACCTTTATCTGCTTGAGATATGAAGATGTTGCCTTGTAACAGGTGACTACTTCTTATTTGAACCCTTTATTAACATCATTGTCCATCCATTTGTGATTGTAGATCACATAGTCTAAGAAACTTCTTCCTCCTATTCCTTTGTCAAACTTTAAACTTAGCGATAAAGCTTCCATTTCATGTACTGTTTATCACTTATATCTCTACTGATAGACTAGATTGAAGGAAGTTAGTGAAAAATACCTACTCTAGGGCTACTCTTTATCAACCAAAAGTGGGATTGATTGTCACATTACACACGTTCTATAACAGGTTTTGATCCATGACTCTTAGATTGCGAGTTGAGCACCAAAACCAAAAGGCCACACCAGGTTTTAATAATAAATACCTCATACATTACTTTATTTATAGAGCTTTCAAATAAAATTTAATGGTTTTTACAAGGAACACAAATATCAATATCAAAATATTATAGGCAAAAAATAATTATGATGTAAATTCCATAGTTTCACGCACACACACTATAAACTTTTCTTTCTATTGAATTACTACTAAAAACACAAAAATGTAGGTATAAGTCTAAATTCAACTATGGAAATATGATGGTACAGTGTCACAACAACCAACATTACTTTCAGTTAGTGATTTCTGGGTTAATTCTAAGAGATATTTTCTTACTTTAAGTGGTTGATTATAACAAAATCTTCTAATACTCTGTTCTCTGAACATGTTGAATGAGATCAATATTTTAAAGTTCCTTTTCAAAAGGTATATATGTAACTTACAGACCTAGAAATACCAAGATTTAGACAAAATAAAACTGTTTATCAATATTTTATTTATTCTTTAGAACAGAATAATTTAAACTGGGGATTTGAGATCATTGAGATTTCAGAATAATGAAGGCTGTAACTGTTCAGAAAATCAAATCTATGGAAATCAATCATAGCAGCACATTCTCAATACATTTTGAAATATTAATATAAAGAAACTGGTTCTAATCAATACTCACTGTCTATACATAAAAAACCAGGAAGGAAACTCAGTTATAAAGTTTCTTCTTGTTTCATTTTATAGAAACAATGACTGTTCTGTCCCTCTATTTCCATTCAAATTTAATTTTATCATATTTTATTAATTGATTTGTTGTCATTCTACCACTTCATACTCTTAAATACAAAAGTTCCCAACTAAAAGTATCAAAGGACATCCATACACTTAATCCTGTCTTATGTGGTTCAAAATATTTTAAACAATTTCTACATTCATTTGAAATTCTTCACAACACAGTAGACAACACTACTGCTTGTCAACAATGTACAATCTCTGTGTATTTTTAATTTTCTAAACAGAGCTGGCCTTATGGCAAGGCCACTGAGACAACTGCCTCAGACCCTGCACCTTCCTAAGGCCAGCCCTGATCCAAAACTGTTTCAACAAACTGCAATACTATATAGTATATACCCAGTGTGTGTACTCTAGGTGGTATTTTTAATTAGGTGTTTCTTTGAAAACTGTTGCACACAAAGTTCACTGCTTTAAGGTTTATCCCCAGTGTGTATTCTCTGATGTAAATTTAAATATGATTTCCTTTGAAAATTTTTTCCACAAACTTCACAACTGTATGGTTTTTCTCCAGTGTGTATTCTTTGATGTAATTTTAAGTAATAGTTACTTTGAAACTGCTTCCTACAAACTTCACAACTATATGGTTTCTCCCCAGTATGTATTCTTTTATGTTTATTTAAACTAGAGTTACATCCAAACTGTTTTCCACAAACATCACAATGGTAAGGTTTCTCCCCAGTGTGTATTCTTTGATGCAGATTTAATTCATAATTTGTTCTAAAGTACTTTCCACAAAATACACAACTGTAAGGTTTCTCCCCAGTGTGTATTCTTTCATGCTTTTTTAATTCAGCATTTGTTCTGAAATGTTTTCCACACACTGTACAACCATAAGGTTTCTCTCCATTATGTATTCTTTCATGCTTTTTTAAATAATTACTTGTTCCAAAGTGTTTTCCACAAACTGTACAACTGTAAGGTTTCTCCCCAGTATGTATTCTCTGATGTGTTTCTAAGTTACTATCTGTTACAAATAGTTTTCCACAAACTGTACAACTGTAAGGTTTCTCCACGGTGTGTATTCTCTCATGTAATTTTAAGCTATTGTTTCTTCCAAAGCGTCTTCCACACACTATACAAAGATATGGATTCTCTTCAGAATGTATTCTTGAGTCTTTTTTTTGGTAATCCACCATTACAGATTCTTTTCCACAGGTTACATGACTGTATGGTTTATCTATACCCTGGTGTATATCAGATTGTTTTAGGTTATTAATATTTACATTTTTTTCACATAAATCATTTGGTTTTGAAGATTTGATTACTTCTCTAAATGGATCTTCTTGTCTTAAAACATAACATTCAGGAAACTGACTTCCACCACAGATGTTCATATCAGTCTTTATATCTAAAATCAAAATAAATAATACAACAATTGTGGTCAATAACAAATGTATATCACTTTATTTGATGAAGTTATAATACAATTAACACAGATACCAAAATATCAAAGGTAAAAAAATAACCAAAAATTTTCATAGTTTCACATTTTTTCTTCTATACTTAACTGATCATCAAGAAACATTCAAATATTCTAACATGTCGGCTGATGTTAGTATTTTAAAAGTTACTGCAACACACACACACACACACACACACACACACACACACATATATACACATGTATATATATATCATGATGATGATGATGATTGTGAAACATTAAATAGAATTATTAAACATTTTGTTATAAATATGAAAGTGTATTAAGCAAATATTAAGAAATATAAATGAAGAATTTTGGCATGAAGTTCCAATAATAATTTTTAGTTTTTAAAAAGGTTGTTTGAAAAACTTGTCACTATTTTTACATGGATAAACACCTTATCACAAATTACAAGCTCAGAAAAAGTCTGAAAATTGGTAGTTACAGTGTACTCTCTGAGTAAAGTTACTGGGGTGGTGGTTGGGAATTACACTAGTTTAGGTAACTTAGTTTGGTTTTTATACAAGTATAATTTGTCTACTGTGCTTCTAATTAACTTAGAACTTTACTACTATAATGGGGGCTGGAATGCCAATATTAGGAAGTAATTTTATCTTACTTTCTCCCAGTGGTAGAATCTTATTTTAATTTTATTCTATCTTACTATTTTGGAAAGCAGTCACTTTCCCACAACTGTCTGGAAGCAGTGAAGGGTGATATTGATGTTGGACGTTGTGCACTTGAGCACCCACATCTTTCTCATAACTTATATTTTTCTTTATGATTTTTTCTTCAACGTGTGAGACTGATAAACAGAGATTAAGACTGGTAGATGGTGTATCCCCTCCATAATGTGAGTCCTACTTCCACAGTCAACTCCAAAACCCAAGACACATTATATATCCTATATTATAGCCTGTACCCAGGGGATATCTTCATGCAGCATCTTAAATTTTGTTTGGGTTTGTTTTGTGTAACAACAGCCAACTTTACTTTCAACTGGTAATTTTCTTAATTTTTAAGAAATATCTTATTACTTTAGCAAGATAAATATCACAAAATCTTCTAATGCTTTGTCCTCAACATGTTGACTGACATCAATACCTTAAACTTCATCTTCAAGAGACCTATATGCAAGTTAAATATCTAGAAATGAAAAGACTTTAACGAAACTGTTTATAAATAGGTCGCTTATTCTATTATCAAGTTTAGAACAGATTCCTTTTACAAAAAACAGTGTAAGTAATTGCCTCAGCATGAAAATTAACAGACTTGGGGTTCAACACTAACAATGTCCCAGAATCTGGAGGGTGAAAGTATTTATAAAAGTGAAATACAATCATAGTAGCACATTCTTTGTACATGATGAAATACTAATCTACAAAATCTGGTTTCCCCACAACAACACATTCTCAGTAAATGTTGAAATACTAATCCAGAGAAACTGGTTCCAACCACTTTTCACAAAGTCTATACATAAAGAATTAAGAAGACAAGTTAAAAAAATCTGTTTTATAGTAACAATGACTGTTCTCTCCATCTATTTCCATTCAAATATAATTTTAACATCTTTTCAATTGCTTTGTTATTTTAACTTTAATGTCTTTTTCAAATTTTCTCTCATTATATTTATCACTTCAAAACATTTCACACAATATTTCAAAGTAGAGGTATAAAAAACACAAGATATATATAGTCTTGCATACTTCAATAACTTCTAAAAGATTACCAACCATTCAATCATTTCTCTTAGGTCAGTGTCAATGAATATACAGTTGTTAGATGTTTGTACTTACCAAATATACTTTCCAACCTAGGTTCAACACATCGTAAATCTTCTTGGAATTCAGTTTCTGTTTTCACTTTGATAACACCATACTGTGAACTATCCAGATCATCAGGCCATTCTGTTTTCACTTTGATGTCATATTCTGAACTATCCAAATCATCACCACTACTTTCACTGAACTTTGAAATAACCTCACTTTGTTGTAGATCATCAGGCCATTCTGTTTTCACTTTGATAACATCATATTTTGAACTATCCAAATCATCATCACTACATTCATTGAACTTTGAAATAACCTCACTTTGTTGTAGATCATCAGGCCATTCTGTTTTCACTTTGATAACATCATATTTTGAACTATCCAAATCATCATCACTACATTCATTGAACTTTGAAATAACCTCATTTTGTTGTAGATCACCAGGCCATTCTGTTTTCACTTTGATAAATGTATTCTAAAATCAATCACATTCAAAAGGTCAATAAAAATAATAGCTGATGCTATCACTAAAGTAAACAAATACATATTGCCTCCAGTTTATTAATATAAAACATGATGATATAAAACTAACATTATGTGTAATAACAGAAACTAAAACTCTTTTAATCTTTTTTAAATAAGCCCAAAACCAAAGGTGATAAAAAATATAAGAGAAGGAAGATTCATTTCTGTTAGATATAACTTTAGGTAAAGACACAATAACAGACATAAAATTTGTGTAAATTCAACTTTAATTAAAACAATATGAGCAGCGTAACATCTCTAGACAGTTAATATTAGGCAGAGTATTCATGATGAAATTTAGTTGAATGGATGGCAACTACCTGTTGTGGAAACACAAGTGTAGAGGACGACATTTCAAAAGTCTTCCGAACCTGAAGACAAAAAAGCAGAAGACTGTCGAAATATCATCCTCTACACGTGTGTTTCTACAACAGGCAACTGTCACCCACTCAACTAAGTTTTATCACAATGACAGAAATCTATCATTTCAAGGTTACGGAATTGAGAAAAACAAATACACCTGTAAGTTTCACAAATATTACATTTATCACGATCATTGTTAAACCATTAACTATTTCAATATGGACTCGGTCTCAGGGACCAACCTCAAAACCATTTATGCTTGTTACAGTTTTCATGCTATACTTTTTAAATTAGTAAATGTATGTTCATGTAATTTTGCATTTTATCAGTAAATGTTATAAGGCTTTCATATACAAAATATCAGGTTTTAAGACTTTAATGTTTTTCTCATGCCTTTAAAATTCTTTTAGAATGTTGACTATCCAACATGCAAAGTGATTTTGATTTGAAGATTAAAAAATACTTTTATGTATCATAACCTCTACATAATTATCAAATTTTTTTGAGAAAAAAATATTTATCTGTTATTTTCTCTACTGTATCTCTGTATGGTTTGTTTTGAAGATCAGATGAGGGGAACCACACCACTTCTGATCTAGGTATACTCTTTGCCCATGAGTGTAATGTGCAAGATATAAGGGCAGAAATTGAGCGGAGCACATCTTAGTGGGAGAGAATGTGGTAGTAAGTGATCCTAACAAGAGCAAGAAAAGGTAACTCAATCCAATAAGAGAAAAGTTGGTAAACAAGGATGCACCCCTGGATGTATAATGGCTAGAGTACAGCGGATAATACTCGGTAAGTCAACTACATCCAAAACCACCTCAAGAGATACTGACATTCATGCGAAGGTTAGATAAGGATCATACCATCTTCACCTCAAACCCTAGAATCACAATGTTTCCAGGGTATGACACGAGCAGTATCTCTGATCTATCAATCCATGAACTGGCATCAGATATCGAAAGGATGTCTATTGCATGGAATCACTCCTCCAACCATCCAATGACAATAATGTTCCCGTAAAAAGAGAATGAGGGATAGTCAAGAATAGAACTCTAACAATCCCATGTACCACCAATGTGACACACAACTCAGATGGAGTAATTGAGGGAGGAAGATAGACAGCCCAAACTCATGTGAGGACTTATAGTGATTGGTTCACTCTAATCCAAAACCTCCTTCCAGGATACCAACATCCACATGAAGGTAGAATGAGGGTTCTCAATTGAAAGGGTGAACTGCATTTTTGATGAGTCAACTCTAGTGGTTGTGTAAATGGTATCAGGAGACCACGTCATACAGCAAGGTGACGGCTCAATGCCTCTGTTGGCCATGTCTCATCTACATCAGCAGAACTCTACTGCTCCGCTCTCGCTTGAATGGCTAAAGGCCTTCTTTTTTGTGGAACCCATTCAGAGGGGTGCCTCCAAGGTCAACCATCCCAGCAGCTTGGAACTAGAAAGTGGTGAGGAAAGGAGGGTGACAATGCTGTGGAGAGTCCAGAAGAACATGCCGTGTTATTCACTTGAGGCATGGCAGGGATGGGCAGCAATCCTTTTCTGCTTTACCCATGCAATCCATGGGCGGTATGATCTGACATGGGCATGTTTATGAAGATAAATTTTGTGAGGTTATTCATTATCAAGCAATCTTGTGGAACACCCCATCTCAACGACAAGAGTGCAAAGTCATGGAAGATAAAGCAAGAGTCAACATGGCTGTACAGTGCAGATTTAGTATTAAAGAATACCTGGTCAGGCACCTACTCGCCACTGATCAGGATTCATGGGATAAACAAGCAGATAAAGATAAAAAGTATGGATGAAAACTTACCAAACAGAGTCATACCGAAGTCTGAAGAATGGTCAAAGGTGGCAGACGAAACTCCAAAGAAGAGGAAACTGCAGTATGATGAAGATAGTGGGAGACATACTGGGAGTGGTCCATATGTGGGATTGTAGAATCTCCTCCATTGGACGACGAAGATGAGTAGTGAGGTATTGGATCTAATGGGAAGAAAAAGGTAGGGAAGAATAGGCCAATCGAAGCAAAAGGAGGACCCAATTGGTAAGGTTAGAAGGTCAAATGTCACGAAAAGAGGTGAAATACCAAGGGATAAAAAGTCAGAAACCTGTATTCCGAAAGGTAGCAGTACGGGCTATATAATAATGAAGAGCCTTGACTGGATACAGAAGCATATCTAGATCTACCCGAGGGTAAAGAGGGGATGTAGAAGGAATGAAAATAGAATAAAAGGAGAAACAAACCTCCCAAGCTGCCAAGGTTTTCAGGCAAAGGGAACAATACAGATAAAAAAAAAATAGGTAGGGTGATAAATGGTACGTGAAACTTCAATGGCAAACAGATCCAACCGTTGACAACCACAAGCTAAGAGAAAAAAGAAATATCATCTTGCCAAGGACTAGACGATAGCCAAGCATGAAGAAGTAAATCATGAAGGTTAGGATGGAGGACATGTGATCAAGGTTGATGAAGAAGGGAGGGAGAAGTGGATGAGAGAAAGGGAGTAGTAGTTGTAACCTTGTAAACCATGGCTGAGCTGATCAAGAAGGAGCAATCAGGTAGACTCCACAAAGAGTGGAGTGGACAAGAAAAATCACACAAAGTAAATGGATGAATAAGTATGCATAAAGATACCAGTGTGACCAACCCAGGCTAAAGGCATCTACTGCCAGAGCCTGTGGATGAGGTACAGGCAACCAAACTAGAGGCAACTTTGTGCTGAGGCCAATAGCAAAGGCTTCCCTGAGGAGAGAACCCCACCAAACTCTGATGGCAGAAAATACAATCAAAGTCCTCGTCAGCCAGCAAAGGCTCAGCAGTTTCAGGAGGAGCTATGGTGAAGTACAGGGAGAAGAAATGGACCATTTAATGTTAGATCTTCTGACTTATAAAAGCAGATAAATCCATCGTTAGGTCGCCCGCATCCGAGAAAAAATCTAGTCACTGTTGTAACCCCCAAAGTGCTAAGGTTAATTTCAGAATGTATTGCACAGAAACGTTTCACCAAACTTGAGTGCAGAAATAAAGTAACTGCAATTAACTGATAAATATAAGTATAAGAATCTGGTTGAAAAATAACCACTTTGTGAGGAAAAAAAGTTGAAAATGCAGCAATAAACAAACAAAAGAGCATTTCCGAACTTAAATGCTGCCAAACGAGAAGTGATAGTTTGGTAGATGAGTGTAGAGGGAGTCACATGCATCATGTGAGCATATCATGCTACTATTGGTTAAGAGGTGACATGATGATTTGCATAGGAGACATGTTGGAATACAGTAATTCCCTCAGGGGGGGAGTGGAAGGCTAGTGCCATGCATAAAGAAAAATTTTGCACATAGAGAGCAGCACTGAATGAGAATAGCTAATCTTGTGAGTGGAGGTAAGAACGTATCGAAAGTTGTTAAATTTACCCTAAGAATCTTGTTTTTCTATTCTAACACTTGTATTACCTTTGTCTGCTTTAGTGATCATTAAACTATCATTCTTAATTTTATATTTTATAGATTCAATCAGTTTGAACTCCTATCTCCTTTCATAACATAGTTCTCAAAAGTTTCAATAATATTTGCTTTGTTACAGACTTGTCATTAAGTGTTAATCCCACTACAAGATTTTTACACTCAACCTGGTTTTGGGATCATGTTTTAAATTTTTACTTACTAAATTGCATTCATTTTTCGTCAACTTTGATATGGAAAGTTTAGTAATTTTGGATAGAAATTTCAGTGGTATAAATTCCAGTATTTGAAACTATAGGTCACAAGGGTCATCCGTTTTTTTTTTAACTTTAGGAAGACAGTAACAAAAAAACTCTTCACTGAACATTTGATGGTCTATGTAATAAATAATTTTGCTTTTCATAAGAAAACATTACCCTTTCCTATTTTTAATAAGTATTTTTGTACTTAGACTTCCCTTGCAGCTGTAGCATAATGGTGTACTTTACAAACTTAGTTGAAAAACTGTAATGTCTTCAATTTTAAATATTCACCTTAATTTAAGATTACAATACTATTTACTTTGTCAGATTTAGGAATATTAATACTTTCATTTTTGCTTAGATTCTTCAAAGTTGTTCATTCTTCCGAGCTTAATTTTAGAAACCTTTTACATCCACAATCATAATTATATAGAAAAGTAAACACTACACATAACCCGAGATCTAACATTACTAAATGATTTATCAGTAAGACCATATTCCTTGGTATACAATGATGGAAAAACTGTTCAAATTGTACAAAATAATCAAGGACTACAATACATCTTAAGAGAACAATGGACAAAGCTTCTTTCTATCTCTTACTACAGATCCACATACTGCTAGAGGTTTCTACTGGCTATAATTGAATAGTGCGAAACCTGCTCTTTCTATTGGTTATTGCTATTGAACTTACTTACAAAAACAGCTTTGACTTTGCATTGTTGGAAGGTATCCAAGAGTTAATGAGATACAGCTGAAACTTTACTTTGACAGTCTATATTAGCCACTCACAGTTTTTTGTATAAGAGCTCTTAAAGTTCAGAAATATAATGGTGAGCAAATCATGTGACAGCAAAACTGCAGTTTTAATTGTTGTTTTAGATGTTTCTTTTTAAAATAAAGGATTAAACTTAGATAATATAAATCTTTAAATTATAGCATACTTAAATTACTATAACTACATTTATAGTAAAGTGATTTAATTACATTTTGAAAGTAACTCAGTAACATGCACAGAAAGGGATTTAAAAATGGCCTTGTTTCTATAGAGTTAATGATACAATAAGAACTGTGTAATATCTGTAGACAGCTAACACTACTGATACAATATAAGCAGTGTAACATCTGTGGACGGCTAACATTAATGATACAATATAGGCAGTGTAACATCTGTGGACAGCTAACATTAAGGATACAATATGAGCAGTGTAACATCAACAGACGGTTAACATTAATGATACAATAAGAACAGTATAACATCTATGGACAGTTAACATTAATGATACAATAAGAATAGTGTAACATCTGTGGACTGTTCACATTAATGATACAATAAAAACAGTGTAACCTCTGTGGACTGTTCACATTAATGATATAGAATAAGAAAAGTATAACATCTGTGGACTGTCCACATTAATGATATAATACAAAAAGTGAAACATGCTACACATTTAATATTTACTCTACAATAATACTATAAAATTTGTGCATTGCAAACATTAATAACACAATAAGTAGAGTGTAACATCTGTGAACTGTTAACATTAACCGTAAAATAGTAAGTGTAATGACAAAGCTAGCATTTATACTAGAATATGAACAGTGTAACATGTGTAGACACATTTAATCCCACATTAAGTAACAACAAGAACAGTGTAGCACATGTGGATAGCTAACATTAATGATATAATAACACTGTGACAGCTTTAGAAAACAATTTACTCAAGTTTTAGTGAATTTTTTTAAGACTATGAGTACAAATAAACCCCAAAAAATATTATTACATCTATATGATCACTTCAATAACAAAATTGTAAATTCTTTAGTTTACAAACTACCTCAGTTTTCTCTGTTGCTCCATACTGCTCTTCTTGTTCCTCTTTTACTAGACCAGACTTCAAAATGGTATGTAAAGATCTTTCTTGTAAGGAACCTCCTTCTCCTGTTGGTAGAATTATAAATAATACAGATTTGTCTGTAACAAGCCTGAATATAAATCATGCTTCACTAAATCATAATCAAATATCATACAATGTATAACTTCTACAAGTTTTATAGATACACTAACATCCACCAGTAAAGTATCAATTACCAGTAAAGTGTAGAGAATAATTATAAATATTATTAAAACAAGAAACACTGTTATATTCTTGTGTAAACAGCAACAAACACACTGGAGATAAGAACAAAATCAAAAAAAACATCTATGAAGGAGCAAATTTATTATTATTATATATTATATATTTATCATAATACATAATAATAATAATAATATTATATCATTTTGTATAATATCTTGTACATAAATATATTTACATGTATCACGTCTTGTAGTTGTTGTTGTGAAATTGTTGCATAATGATTGAATTGTTCTCTACGGCAACCATACGTCATTTCTCCCTATTTCCATTCATCATTCGATCAAAGCACCATTTAGCATGAAGATGTATCGCCATGTACATTAGCTGAGGTAATAAAATCTAAACCAGTAAAAATTATGATGTTTCTGTTAAAGAATGTTTCAACAGTCAGTCCAATTGTGGATGCAGCCATCCATAACCTTATATAAAAGACTATATATTTTGAATTTGTTGGAAATGAAAATGCAAATGGATCCCAATCCCAAAGTGTTTTGTAAATTATATTTGCCCAAAAAGAATAGTTACAGTGCCAATAAGAAATCACTTTTTAATCTAAAAACACATCAGTTACAAACATTTCCATAAATTCAAGGATTTTGAATCTTGCATCAAGAGAGGAACAGATGTAAACAAAACAAGCAAACAAACATGTGCAAATTCTATGATTATGGTTGTGTTTATCATTCATTTATTATTTCCTCCTATCTTTTAGTTTATCTATAAATTTTAGTTGCATTAAAATGCTAAATCACCTTCTACCTAATCATTTGTATTTTGAGTAAATATTTGTGTATGATAAAACTGACACTAGCTTCCCTTCCAGTGATGTACAGATACTATTAATGTAGCAGAAGAGTATGTAAAGTTTTGATCACATGAGGTTGTACTCTCATGACCTACTCTGTAAATAAATACCCTGTCAAAAATTCAGTAAGAGAGAGAAAGTCATGAGATAGTTACTCAAGAATATAGTTATTGCTGTATGTTAATCCATTTTGTTATTAATATTGAAAGGTATTGTTGGAATATTGTATTAGCTGTATCTTTTTTTTGGAATTAGGTTTTTTCTTTCTGGTTCTTTGTCCTGATTCCATTATTATTGATTTACTAATATTAATGACAAATTGTATAAAGTTCTGGCCAGGCACTTGTTTATTAACTGTCTTTTGGTAAGTGTTGAATATATTTCTAAATGTTGTTATTGTGAATACCTTTTTTGTTCTTGTTGAACCCGCTTGTAGTGGTGGCATGTTCATTTTAGACCATTACAAAAGGTCACATGAAGCAGCAGAGACATGGGTTCATACTTCCAGTATGAGAAAAACTGGGGAAAAAGAAACAGAACAATCACTCTTGAAGCCTTCACAGCTGCTAGTGTCGGGAAGGTTAGACAACATAAAATAAATGTACTCTAGTTGTTTTCGTCATTGAAGAAATGTTTCCTTTCAAATTTGTTGAATTGTAAGCTTTGAAAAATCTTACTCAGACATTACAGCCGCATAAAATTGTTTAGTGAGAAAGCCCTAAATTGTGCAATTAATAATGATAAACTGAAAAAGATGCTTGGCACATTAGAGTGGCTTGTGACACAGCCTAACACTCTATAGGTTTTTCATCTCAATCATATCCCTTTCACCTCCTTAAACCATACACTAGCATCTCAATATACCAGTGATAGTGCTATCTAGAGTTCTTCTAACAATCCACATACTGCAACAGTTATGGTTAACATCACCCAATACATCACAGACCCAATCTATAGCCTTTCTTAGAAAAATAAAAAAAAGGATGAAAAAGCTCTGTACCTCAAGTTAACATGCTATACATTTCTCTAAATCAGTCAAATTTCTTAGATTAACACTCAGCCAAACCCTAAAATGTAATAACATTTTAATAACATCACACATAACGAGTAACAGAATTGCACATTTATTTCACTTAGGTGGAACTAATTAAGGCTGCAAAAGTAAAACTATAATCACCATTAATAAAGCATATATCAGACTGCTACTTAAAAAAAATTAAAGTTTTTGGATTGGAACAAATTGACATGAAGACAAACAGCAAAGACTTTTGAAATGTTGTCCTCTACACTTGAGTTGCATAAGTAGATTAAATAGTCACCAATATACTTCTACTAATGCTTCTCTAATAAGCAGTTGTCACCCATTTTACAGTCAAATCAATATGATTACTCTGCCTAAACTACCAATCAAAGGATAGTTGACCACTTCATTGTCATTTCAAAGGTCTCAGATTTAACCTCACCACAGGTGTTGGTATAGAATGTAGTCATTTTAGGTTTCAGATAATTATTTATTGAAATCCAAAATAAGCAAAAGAATCCAACTTAATTTTACTGGTATACATACCTGCCACATGATATCAAATCACTGTTTACAATAAGAAATTTCCAATGAATGATGGGAAATTCTGGCAAACTGTTAAACAGGTCACATTCACACAGTTTGTATTTAGAAAGAACAAAAAACATTTAAATTCTAGAGATATACACTTACTACTTGGTAATGTAAAAGTTTTATCTTCATTTTTCATCAATTTGATATTTAACAAAGCCTCCTGCTTCTCATCACAAAATGGTTCAGCCTTTATCTTTAATACTTCCATGGTTATGTCTTTATATTCTCATCAAAACCTGCACTTAGATTACGGAAAAACAGGTTAAGAATTAGATTACAAAGTTTCATCAAATACTCACTTCAAAATTCACATTACCTTGAAAACTTTTATAAAAATTCATAAGCTTCTTAACATCTTTACACTTGAACTATTACAAGTTCTCTTTATCTAACATTAACTGTTTATAAAGCAAAATGTCTAGTAACAAAACAAGAAAATCTTTACCAAAAGTTTCATATAATTTAAACATGAGTGTAAGTAGGTTTTACTCCACTATATGTGTGTGCGTGCGTGTGTGTGTGTGTGTGTATACCTCATTTATAAAATTACACAAAGTAGGATATTACGGGAACTACCGAAATACTAAACTCTAAACCTTTATACTTTATAAAGTTTCACTGATGAATAGAAGCATTGTATATACTAACTGTTTTGAGAAAATAATGTAAGTATACAATAATATAAACTAAGTATTTTAATGGTAAATACAAACATTATATGTATCAAATATTTTGTGTTTAACATTATGACAGATAATGAGGGTAAACAATAATATAAACTTTGTTAAGTATTTTATTGATACACACAAACATTATATGTATCAACTATTTTGTGTTTAACATTATGTGACAGATAATGTAAGTAAACAATAATATAAACTAAGTATTTTAATGGTAAATACAAACATTATATGTATCAACTATTTTGTGTTTAACATCATGCGACAGATAAGGTAAGTAAACAATAATATAAACTTTGTTAATTGTTTTGATGAGAAAAATAAACATGCATATCAGAACAGTTTAGTGTTTAACATGCATCAAACTTCTGTTGGTTTCAAATTAATGTGATTTATTACATTTAAAAGAAACAAATACCAGTGATCATCAACTTTACAAACAATCTGTTAGAAGAGTACACTTGATACAGCTGTACCTCACTAACTACTCCATTTTTCATTAGTTTTTACAATTAATAAACATAATATCATGAACTATAAAAAAACACAAACAGAAGAAACTACATGAAGAGCAAGAAAGAAAGAAAGAAAAAAAATACATTTCCTTATAATGATTTGTAAATTGATTATGTTAAATTCAACTAAATATTCAACAAACAGGAACTTACTATCATCAGCATAAAGTTCCCTCATTGATAGATTGTACTAGGGACTCTCCAGGTGTGAGGACAGGAATCACACCCAACAGCAAGCACTGAACAGAGGCAAACAGTGTTAATCCTTTAATCCAACTAACAGGATAAAAAAAAAGACAGAAAAGAGTCAGAAAGAAGAAGGTTGAGCAGCTTAGTTGGGAGGACACCATGTGAAGAGGCCTAAGGATGAAAAACCCCACAAAAGGCCTGCATAAATGAAGGGTATCAAATGGAGTTCCCCGAGACCTCCAGAAGATAAGGTATCCTGAAAAAGCAAGTTCAAGAATCAAAGAAAGTGAACTGAGAAAAAGTTAATGAAGGAAACACTACAGTCTGAAGGATAGGTTAACATGACCTTACTCTAGCAAAGGTAAGGAAAACATGAAGAGGAAATTAGAAGTAATAGAGACTAAATGTGCAAGAAGAAGAAAACCAATAAATTGGAAGAAGAAATTCATGGGATGGGAGCACTAGAAGGATAGAATTCCAAACACAGGCCATAGACAACGAATCTTAAGTTCAAGAAAGATGTGTAAACTGAAAGAACCTGTAATAATGCAACATCGGGTGAGAAAAGGGGGATGGGAAAAACACGAAGTGTAGTTCACTTCAGAAAACAACAATTAAAAGAACAAATGTCACATAGCAGAGTTATCAATGAAAACAGGTGAATGTTATATTGGTTAGGAATAGAAGAATCAGAAGTAGAGGAAGATTATGGGAAGAGTTGTTTAAAGATGTCCATATACAAGACAATTTCAGCATAAGGTACATAAACAGAAGTACTGGGTCTACAATGAACCAACTAGGTAATTTACTTAGTGATAAAATTACTAAATGTCTTAATTCTTATATACAATGAAATAAGGTGTGGCAACTCATTTGAAAGAGTCTGGACCTATACAAGTTTTGTAAACATTGATAACAGAACTTGCATGCAATAAGGTAAATGAAGGAGAAACCACGAATATTAATGTTTTAATGTCTTGCACACTCTGTCCTGGTACTGTATATAAACACCTCATTCAGATAACTTTATCACTTTTTTTAAACTGATACTATCCCAGTCTGTAACACCAGCTCTTTTGTGAGGAAGAATGGCAAGAGTGTGTGAAAGGAGGTAAGTATTATTGGAAATACACTGTCAATTTAGGAAAATGTTAACTTCCAGAATATACATACCTCAACTCCCACTTATAGCTAGAATCCCACATTGAGAAGGTGAAGAGGCCAGTGAAGGCATTACCCATACAGAAAGTGTCTACACAGATCATGGGTGTACCAAGATAAAAGTGGTACCCAAGTGGGAGAACCACACTACATTCATAACAAGTATGCTCTTCACCTTGAACTTAGTATCAAAGATGGAATTGTACATGAATGATCATCACTATAGGCCAGCCCCAACCAGACAGCTGAGGTTCAACTACTTGGAGTTGGAATTAAGAGGTCTTGGTCCCTATACCCCATGTTGGTGGCTAAGTCAATTGGACCACAACATTATATATAGATATACTTTTGATTGGTTTGTTTGGAATTAAGCACAAAGCTACACAATGGGCTATCTGTGCTCTGCCCACCACGGGTATCGAAACCCGGTTTCTAGCGTTGTAAATAATCGCAGACATACCGCTGTGCCACTGGGGGGCCTTTTGATTGGATCCCAACCTGTATCCACATAGTGATGTGTCCAAACCACCAGAATCACGGCAAAAATATATGCAACACCAAAGTGGATAAACCTTCTCCTCCACTTGAAGAAGCCCGAAAGACAACACCCAGGCTCAGAATGACAGGTTCATGCAAGCCTTACTCACCCAAAAGAACAGAACTCATCTGGTCTGGAATTATGAACATTCATCCTCAATCCCCAACCAAGTGGGCAAGGAGCCTTCCACTTGCCCCCAGAATTATGGGGAGGACATGGAACAACTGTGCTCAACCAAGGACCCAGGATGGGACCACTCTACATTTGTAATTACAAGGAGATAGTGAACCTTCTTTCATAAACAACATACTAAACCAATATTGATCAAGTAGAAGAGCCATGCACACCCCAACTGGATAGCTAAGTATCAAATCTGAACCAGTATTACAAGTAGGTCCCCAGGTAGGCTAATGCCAGTCCTACCCAGAAGTGACCCTGAAAGGTGGAAATAAAAATGCTCACCCCTCTGGATAATCTAGCAGAAATGGTTAAGATAGCTACAGGGGGTAAGCAAAAACCCTCAGATTAAGAGACTGCCAGATCAAACAAATAACGTGAGATAAATGTATTGGAGAATGTCCACATACCAGTCTGCACAGTGACCTCCAGCGAGCAATTCGACCTGGCTGCTAAGGACATAGAAATGTGATGAATCTGATGAGGGAAACCAGGAAATAGATGTGTATGATCCCTGGTCACTTAAAGAATTACTTGTATTCTCATCCCAAAGGCACGAAGGATTCAAGTGATTCCCACATTCCCAGAAGAGAAAGAACCTTCTGTGCAGTGGGAGAAGAAGAGGCAAAAGTGTGGCTTCCTATTCTATAGTATGAGCAGAATGGGAGACAGCTGAGCCTGACTGAAAGATGAGATGAAAAATACCAAGACTGATGATATATTGAATTAGAACAAGAATAGATGTTGCAGTCCTGCAAGAGAAGCCTGAAAGCATAAACTGGATGTGATGGTCTAACAATTGACGAGATGTTTCCAGCAGTAACCAATTGTCCATGGAATGGTTTGTGCAAAGTGCAATGGAATGAATGGGACAAGAAAACTCAAACAATACATGTTAATCCTATGTGAGGCCAAATGAAAAACCTGGAACTGTAGTACCTGACCCTTGTGCACCACAAATGCCTATAGTAGTTGGACTCTACTGCTAAGGCAAAGTACATATAGGACCCAACTACAACCAAGTTGGACATTTACAATCCCAGTAAAAAACAACACATATTGAGGAATGATTGACTTGTGAACCTTGGAGAATCTAGACATTAATACAGACAAGGAAGACTGAGACTTGACACCAATCTCCAGTCTTCATAGGCCCAACAACTAACAGGAACTAACCTAACTTTCTCACTACCCCATACCAACCAGACTCAGATAACCCTAAAACTAAGTTCCTATTCCTTATTAACTGTAGGAGATGGAAACCCTACAGGTTGAGGGGATAATAGTGAGGAAGATGTGAACTGAATGACCAATTGTGACCCAAGGACCTGCAGACTTCTGGATCGATGGGTAAGATTACCACACATCCAGAAAATCTTGAAACAAAGCTCCCACCACAGCACCTGAAGGTATACAATACTCAACAATGCTGCTGGCAATCTGACTAAGCACATACATAAGAAAGATAATACTTCAAGTTTTCATTAAAATTTTAAAATAATATACTAAAATTTCCATAGCTTGCAAAGAAAAAAGAATATATCTAAACAAAGCAGTGCTGAAGAAATCAGTGAGCTTTTGTAATATATAACATGCTCAAGGGGAGTACTCTACATGAAAGATGTGTTGCTCTCCTGTTGATGAAGGACTGTATTCTAATGAAGGTTGTATCATAGACTTGTACAGTACACCTTTATAGATGTAAATACAGTAGTTTCATTTACAGGCTTGACACAAGTACAAAAACATTATTGTAAGGGAGCAAAGTAATAGCAATCCCTTCTTTGGGGAAGTGAGTTGTATTTCTCAATAACCTGGTATAAGCTACAACAGGAAAATTTAATTGATAAATTTATATTAGGCCTAAACAATTCCACTCTTCTGTTTGTTTTCCCGAGTGATTTTTAATAGTGGATGAGTTAAAATTCCTGGTTGGTTCTCCTATAGGATGAGTGTATCTTTACACAAGAAATATAACAAT